TGGAACCCTAAACCACAAACCACCCCCAGATCCTACCATACACAACCACCAGAACCTAGCCACACACACAACATTCCCAGACCTGTGGCATCAACCCACTCAACCAACTCTCCTGCACCTGACCTAAACAGATTCAAATCACAATTAAGAGAACAAAGGAGGTGTTTCAAATGTTTTGAGGCTTGGCAACCTGGACATAGGTGTAAGGGCCCTACCTTCAATCTCATTGAGGAAGAAGAAGGGTATGATGATCCTGAAGTCCCAGAGTCTACAGAGGTGAATAATGGCAGGGAAGAGGCAGAAATCACTCTCTGTGCACTAGTGGGGGGAGAAGGGATGAATACCATTAAACTCCTAGGGCTAATCCAGAAGCAGCAAGTGGTTATCCTAGTGGACAGTGGGAGTACTCATAGCTTCCTAGATCCAAAGATACTCTGCCAACTGAGAAAAGAATCTGTAAGTGCAAAGCCTTTGCTAGTGACTGTTGCCAATGGGGAGCAGGTGAGGTGTGATACTGCCTGCCTGGGATTGAGTTGGGAAGTGCAAGGGGAAAGGTTCGCCAGGGATTTCAGGCTGCTGAGACTTGGAGGTTGTGATATGGTGTTGGGAATAGACTGGGTAGACCAGTATGCTCCCATACAGCTGCATACTAGGCCACCTGGCATTTCATTCTACAAGGACGGCAAGAGGGTCACACTGAAGGGATTAACTAAGAAGATCCTGCTGAGAGGGGCTTCTGAAAGGCAGTTAAAAAAATGGCACAGAGGAGGAGTTAAGGGGTTCCTGGTGCAATGCATATCCACCCCACTACCCAACAGCCCTTCTAAGCCACACCTCAACCTCAGCCCAAAACTACCCAAAATTCCAGATCACCCAGCTAGACCAGAACTCACTGCCATCTTGCAGGAATTTAGTGAGATCTTTTCAGAACCTACTGCCCTACCCCCACAAAGATCCCTTGACCACTCCATACCCCTACTACCAGGAGCTAACCCTGTAAGCACTGGACCATACAGATACTCTTATGACCAGAAAAATGCTATAGAAAAGATGGTTGAGGAAATGCTCTCTGCTGGGGTTATTGTGCCCAGTTCATCCTGTTTTGCCTCTCCTGTGTTGTTGGTCCCAAAAAAGGATAACACTTGGAGGTTCTGTGTAGACTACAGGGCACTCAACAACCTTACAGTTAAGAACAAGTTTCCCATTCCTCTGGTGGAGGACTTATTCTCAGAATTGGCAGGGGCAGGTTGCTTCTCTAAACTAGATTTAAGGTCAGGCTACCACCAGGTTAGGATGAGGGAAGGAGATGAACACAAGACAGCATTTAGGACTCACCAAGGACTCTATGAGTTCAAGGTGATGCCTTTTGGGTTGACTAATGCACCTGCAACATTCCAAGCATTGATGAATCAAGTCTTCAAGCCATTGCTTAGGAAGTCAGTATTGGTATTTTTTGATGATATACTGATTTACAGTGTGAACTGGGCAGAACATTGGGTGCATTTAAGAGAAGTTCTGCAGATTATGAAGGATAACCAGCTGCTAGCCAAGTTAAGCAAATGTTCTTTTGCAAGGGAACAGGTGGAATACCTAGGCCATATCATTTCCAGGGAAGGACTAAAAACTGACCTTGCAAAATTGGAAGCTGTAGCTGCTTGGCCTAAACCCTCTTCAGTAAAAGCTCTAAGGGGATTCCTAGGCTTAGCAGGGTATTATAGGAGATTCATAAGGTCCTATGGTATTATTAGCAGGCCCTTAACCAGTTTACTGAAGAAGAATGCATTCAATTGGAATGGAGAGGCTGATAGAGCTTTTGAACAATTGAAGCAAGCTCTATGCACTGCACCAGTATTGGCCCTACCTGATTTCAAAAAAGAGTTTGTTGTGGAAGCTGATGCTAGCTCAAAGGGCATGGGAGCTGTACTGTTACAGGAAGGTAAACCCATTGCATTCTTTAGCAAAGCCTTTGGTGAGAAACACATGGGACTGTCCATTTATGAAAAAGAGTATTGGTCTATAGTGAATGCCATTGAGAGATGGAGGCCTTATCTGATGGGAAGGCACTTCACTATTACCACTGACCACCACAGCCTCAAGTTCCTGTTAGAACAAAAGATTACTACTGCTGTTCAACAAAGAGGGCTAGCTAAGCTTTTAGGTCTAGACTACTCCATAAAGTATAAAAAGGGGTCTGAAAACTGTGTAGCAGATGCGTTGTCCAGACAAATGGTAGGGGGTGAACCTGAATTGAACTCCATATCTTCAGTACAGCCAGTATGGATGGAAGAAGTGGTTAAAAGTTATGATAATGACACTTGGGCATCTGAGACCTTAACCACTTGCTTGATTGATCCCACAGCAGTTCCTAATGTCACTGTTATGGGGGGTATCCTAAGATACAAAGGTAGAATCTATATTGGGTCCTCAGGAGAGCTCAGGATGAAGCTGTTATGTCAGTTGCATGAGTCTTCTGTGGGAGGACATTCTGGACAGCAAGGTACTTATCAAAGAATGAAGCAACTCTTCTACTGGAAAGGCCTGAAAAGAGATGTTATTGAATTTGTGAGGGTGTGTGATACATGCCAAAGGTGCAAGCATGAAAGCATAGCTTCCCCTGGGCTTTTACAGCCCTTGGACATTCCAGAAGAGGCTTGGGCTAGCATTTCTATGGATTTTGTTGAGGGGTTGCCCAAGTCCAACAACAAAGATGTCATTCTAGTAGTAGTAGACAGATTGACAAAATACAGTCATTTTGTGGCCATTGCCCACCCCTTTACAGCTGAGGGGATAGCTGAAGTATTCATGGAAAATATATACAGGTTACATGGTCTTCCAAGAGATATTGTCTCTGATAGAGACAAAGTATTTACAAGTATGTTCTGGCAGTCCTTGTTCAAAAAGATAGGGGTCAAATTGAATCTCTCCACTGCTTACCACCCTCAAACAGATGGTCAAACTGAGAGAGTTAACCAATGTTTGGAAGGATATCTCAGGTGCATGGTCTTCCACAAACCTAAGTCTTGGACTAAATGGCTCCACCTGGCAGAATTCTGGTATAACACTAATTACCATACCTCTCTTAAATGCTCACCATTTCAAGCCTTGTATGGCTACTCCCCTCCTGTGTTAGCAGCTAGGCTCACTTCTGGGGTTCAGGAACACAGCTGGCTAGCTGAGAGAGATGCCATCTTAACTACCTTGAAGGAGAACTTGAGGATGGCACAGCACAGAATGAAACAACAGGCGGATAGAGGCAGAACTGAAAGAGTTTTGGAAGTGGGGAACTGGGTATATCTCAAGCTCCAGCCTTACAGACAGATGTCCTTGGCAGTGAGAGCCAACCTGAAATTGTCATCTAGATATTTTGGGCCTTATCGAGTAATTGGAAGAGTGGGAATGGTGGCATATAGGCTCCAACTGCCCCCAGGATCCTTACTGCACCCTGTCTTCCACATTTCACAGCTAAAAAAGAGGATTGGGGAAGGTTCTGTGCCTCAGTTGGAACCTCCAGCTACAGGAAAGGATGGGGAAGTACTAGCTGAACCTATAGCAGTGCTGGGCAAGAGGCTTGTTAACAGAAACAATAGAGCTGTAACACAAATTCTGGTGCAATGGTCCAATTTGCCTAAAGAGCAAGCCACTTGGGAAGACTATTATCATGTTACCAGCCAGTTCCCTTTATTTGATCCTTGGGGACAAGGATCTCGAGAAGGAGAGGGTAGTGTAACGGCCCTAAGTGGTAGAAGGGGGAAAAACAGAAGAAAGAAGGCCAAGAAGAAATTGATGTGTGCTGGAATCAAAGAACACCCCCCAAACGACGTCGTCGGATAGATAGAGGTTGGGCAGTTGGAAGCAACCAAAACGTCGTCGTTCCAATTAAATGGCCAGTCAGTTAACTAAAGCTTTCAGCGACGCCGTTTCGATAAAACCAAATTACCTAATTATGCATGCGTGTAATTCTGAGTTGTAGCCCTACTAATATTGAAGTTGTTAGAGATAAATTAGTTGGGAAATAGTGGGATGAGCTGTACAAAATCATGCCTACATATTGTGAGTAGTTGGAAGGATGAGATATGCTGAAAGTTTAATCAAATTACTTCCTTTCTCTCCTCTTTTCTCCCTTAACCCTACCCCTTTCCTATATGTGACTGTGGTGTTTACCTGAGTGTGGAAGGCCATAACACATAACGAAAGTAATCATAGCAAAACTGCAAAATGGTGATATCTCAAATCACAATAATGGCAACAGAAATTAGAAAGAGTTCTTCAAACAAACAATTCAAAAAATGTGAATTAATCTGTGCATCAGAGAGATTCCCATCTGACAAATCATCATTCTCTTTGGAGATCTGATGTCCCTGTCTGTTCATCTTCATATGCACAAATTACATTCACCAGAAACGCAAACAACATTCAAAAACACCGCAGAGAAAAGCTTCATAATCAACAGAACAAATCATGTTTTAAACACTAAAACTCGCATACAATTCCACAATAAAGGCCAAGAACATACTATCAGATGAATTACGCCTTGACACCTCAGATTTAGATTGTTTTCAGAGTGAGATACTCAAAGTATATTTAACACCATCATAGGCAAAAGGCATAACACTATAAACAAGCAGAGAAAAATAATTCAATACAATGCATCAGAGATTCTGATTTCCTTTGACAACACTTTCATCTTTCTCCTTCCCAGAAGGAGTAAGATTAATCTAAAGCAACATCATTTGCTGAAGATTGAAAATCATTGAGAAACTATAAACAAAATAGAGAAAAAAAAATCACAAGAAAGAGGTAAAGTTTGAGGGTTCGATATATACAAGACTGCAGAGTGTCCAGAGGGTTCGAAGCTAGGGTTTATGAGATAGCACAATTTGTTACTCACCCCCTGTAGTTTACCATATTTCCAATCCTACCCCTAACTTTTTTTTTTTTTGAAAACCGTTTTGTTTTCTTTTTATTTCTTTCAAAGTTCACAAATAATAACTGCCCTAGCCCAATTCAATCCAATCCAATATCAAAAGCTTCAGGTATACTGAAACTTTTAAGACTGTATCGCCATTTTTTATTTTTTTTTTTTGAGGAAGTATCGCCATTTTTAGTACAGAGTTCAAACATTATTTCAAAATCCTAAGTTCCTAACCTAAAATCCCAAAATCCCTAAAATCTCTCAGATTCTAGAATCAGCAGAACGCCAAGGCCGACGGCGACAACGGTATGTCTTCTTCACTCCCTCACTCCGTCGATTTCTTTTTCAAAATTCAGAAAGGAACAAGAACATTTGTAATATTTATGGTGCTACTGGAGTTTCACATGCTTAATATTAGTGTACTTACTCCTCATATGGTTTGTTGTTGTTAATATGTTAGGGTTGTTGAGGTATCATTATGTTGTGCTTACTGATTTCATTATTGTTTTCCATTAGTGATGTTCATAGAGAATTCATCTATTATGTTGATGAAAGTAAGTCAAGTTTTAATTATGTCCATTAGTTTTATACTTGAATTCCTAAACATGATTGTTAAGATGATATTGGACCCATCCCCTATTGGCTATTGCTACTAAAATTTAGCTATGAATATGAATCTTGAAATGTACAAGGACCACTATTGTTGTAGTTGGTGTGAACTTATTTTGAGACCACTATTGTTGCTGTTGATGTCAACTTAGTTTGAGTGCTTTAAACTTTAAATATTTGAAGTTTCAACTTTGAACTTTTGTTTTTAAAAAAAAAAAAAAGTTTTTATGGTTCAAACATAAGTTATACATTTTACTTTGGTCTTTAAATTTAATCAAGTTTTTATTATTTATGTATGGATAGTGGACACAACAATTTATATTATTAATTGAAGCATGAAGTTAAATAGGTCCAACACGAGCTTGGAAGTTCGAGCATATTTACCCGAGCTCGAGCTCGAACACTCGAGCTATATAAAAATTTGGCGAGCCGAGCTCGAGCCATCATATTTTTATCGAGCTCAAGCTCGAGCCATCATATTTTTATCGAGCTCAAGCTCGAGCTCGGCTTGGCTTGTTTACATGCCTATTTTGAACTTGTGGTTATGTACTTGTGTGGTAATGGAGTATTGGACTGGTTAAGTGGATATGTAATATGTTCTATTGTTCCAGTATTTCATAAAATCAGGTTTAATTTCTTTTTTCTTTTACAAATATGTAGGCCTTTAATAGGCTTTAAACCCTAGAACATGTAGGTCTTAAATAGACTCAAAGCCTAGGCCAAGCCGGCTTGGGTCTGTAAAAAGGATTGGCTCTGGCCTTAGGCTCCCATAATAAGCCCAGGCCTAAGGCCTATGACCTTGCCTGGCTTATTTTCAACCTAGCCAACTATATGGTCTTCGTTTCTCAATTCTGCTGTATTCAATCTTGAGCGAGCTAATAAAAGTGTTGTTTGATTCATTTGTGGTTTTACTCATATTATGTATTAGCAATTGGTAGCCTTCCTAATTTCTCTGCTTTTACAAAATATAATTTTGTTCCAGTTTTGGCTGGATCAGATGGGATTCTGGAGTAGAGGAGTAGTTGCTGATAAATGGTCTGGGAGGATTTTGTGGCTCTGTGCAATTGGGAGTGCAGTTGGTATTTTCCGTCTGTCTTTTCTTTCGTTGTAGAAAATTTGTCATGAATTATGCGTTTTATCAACTTTTTTACTTGCCTTGACTGTTAAAACTAAAACAGTAACAAGTTTCTTAATTTAAATCTCCTCAAAGATTATTCATAAAAGGGTAGTACTTTGATACACTTATGACTTAGGGGGTGTTTGGTAAATAGCTGCTAGCTGATAGTTGTTAGCTGATTGGGTTAGTGAGTTTGACTAGTTGATAGCATTAGTTGATTGTAGAAAGATGTTTGGTAAATTAATTGTTAGCTGATTACATACAAAATAACTTTCTCAAAAAGCTGATCGAAAAAGCTGCTTTGAGCTGTTTTTTGAATTTTAGTGTTTTGGAGTAATAAATTGTTACAAAAAGCGAATTAATTACTCATATTGGTTGTTTAACCAAGTCAAACAGCTAATAGTGATCAAACAAGCCAAAATTGGCTGATAGGCTAACTATTTTACTAAATAGTGCCTTAACCTTAAATGAAGAAGAATGAATGCAAGTGTTAGAATATGAAGAGCTTCAGTTAGGTCTTTAAAGAATAACCTGCTGTTTTACCGTCTTGAATATAGAGAACATATGCATCATTTTTGTGTCCTATTTAGTTTATGATTTTCTGTATTTGATTCGATGTGGTTACGGAGGGGAATATGTTTATGGGTCAGTATCATATTGTTTCAGTTAGTCATTCAAATAAACTTCGATTCATACACTTTTGAATCAATTACTTAATTGTTTAGGCCTCTATATGGTTGTTGTGGAAAGACAACTGCAAAATAGAGAAAAGATGATGGCAGAATCGTTGGCGGCTGCAGAAGGAAATCCTAACGGTGGAGAAAATTAACGATCTCTGTAAGTGGAAATCTGTTGGAATACATAAAAATATATGTTGAAAGAATTCTTATTTCGTTTAGCATTCCCCTAGCATTTGCCCACTTAAGCTGCGTTTTTGACAACTTGTAATAATATGCTTGTGATTTCAAGCAAAAATGTTTTTCTTTTGAATTCGTGTTGTGGATTTTGGTGTATAACCATTACCATTAGATCAAGAGGTTGTTGATGAAAACCATTCTTGTAAATCATAAGCTTTGTCTCAATTCTTGAAATTATTAGGGTTTTTTTTTTTTTTTTTTTCAAAAAAAAAAAAATAATTATTGTTAGCATGAGTCATGAAATCATAAGCTTTGTCTCAATTCTTCGCATAAAAGTAGAGAAGTTACTGCCTTACTGGTTATGCAGTGAATCATTATTAAGAAATACAATTTCTCAATTGTTTCAAATGCTGTGGGTTTTTTTTTTTTTTTTTTTTTTTTTTTTTTTTAATGCACAATTTTCATTAAACTGTCACCTTTTTTGCATTTCCTCGTGAGTAACAATCAATTTATCCTTGATTAATATTACACTTTTCATCATAAGTATTACATTTTTATCTAAACTTGACCTGTCTCATAGATTATATGAGATGGTCTCACAAGAGAATCGCCTTAACGAAAATTAATACATGGTGTTTCAAATATGGTCAGATTATGACATTAAGGAAATCCCAAAAGTATATCTCAATTGTTGGAACTCCGACCTGAGAGTTTAGTGAAAATATTTGCTAACTGTTTCTCTATTGTAATATAGTCCAACACAATTTCGTTGTCTTCTACTAGTTCCCGATTGAAATGTTACATAATAATATCTACATGTTGCACTTTGATTGATTTTTGGATATATCGATAACACTTGTGTTATTGTAAAACAGTCAATATATCTTGCTATAATCTTTAATTAAACAACATTTCATCTAGAGCTAGGGCCGGACATTTGGGTTCGGGTACCGAACTTGTTCGGTTCGATCTTAAACCGAAGTACCGATCGGTTTGGTTTTGAGAAACCAATCTTTTTTTAATAGATATATAATATAATGTACTAAATGTCTAAGGTGAGGTTTGAACCTTTGACCATAAAGTTAGAAACTAAGAGCTTTACGCATTAAGCTATACGCAACCAACATGGTTGGCGTGGTGGTTCAGCACCTCGTCCCTTAAGCATGAGGTATTGAGGTTGGGGGTTTAATCCCCATCCATGTTAATAGATACCTTGTTTAAAAACTAATAAACAACCTCCATTAGATAATATTTTCCCCCACAAAGAACAAGAACCTTAGATGTACCGGGAACTGAAATGTAGAAGCCGATATGATAGTCACTCTCAAAATCATGATGCTTGGTCAGATAAGCAGCTTGCCCCATATATGCAAGGAACTTTTTACCAAATTATCCTTCTACCTTATCGTATTATTTCTGGACTATATAAAAATTTTCAGAAATGTCATAATTCTCAATAGCATCACGGCTTCTACCTTCGTAACAGTGACAGAACAAGAAGACTATATGCTATACAGATGGAAGTCTAGCGGACACCTTTATTGATCACCAGATGAGAAGAAGACAACATCTCAAGTAACTGTCTTACATTTTTTGAAAAGCTCAAAACAAAACAGAACACACACAAACCAAGGAGCCCATAGTTTTGTCTGTCTCTCAAAATGTACCATGTACTGTGTACTGTGTCATCGCGGGCTGCTACATGTGAACATTACAAAATTTCGTTCCCATGTGTTTGATAGAGAGAAATTGTAATTTTTTTTTTGAAAGGTAATTCTTTTTTCAATTAATTATAAAAAGTGAAAGTTTTAAAATTTGGTTTAGAAAATTGTAATTTTATGGAATTATAATTGCTCAAATTTGAGAATTGTAAATTTTACCTTCCCAGAGAATTGTAATTCTATAATACATTGGAAAAACTCTGGAGTGTGAGGACCAAATTGACATACCTAATAATCTTACATCTTTACATGTCCATTTTGATCTTTGTAGAACTTATTCTCTTTCAATTCACATATATACCAATTAAAGACTACATAATTGAAATTCTCAGTAATTCTATTTTACTTTACCAAACCATGGAATTTGAATTCCTACGCTATTTTCACTTTATTCCTTTCTCACGGAATTAAAATTCATTTCCTTCATAATTCCCTCATTTTAACCAAATGGTCTGTAAGAGTAATACTATATGTAAGGTCTGCTTAGAAACTTGGAAAATTCTTTCGAAAAATGATTTCAAAAAGTGACTCGTTTTTTAGAAAATAATTTAATTTTCTAGTATTTGACTAAAGGTCAGAAAACTACCTTTTCTATGTGGCTAAAAGTTAAGAAATTGCATATTTTTTGTTTGGTTAATTTTTTAGAAATCAAATTATTTGTTATTTTAATAATAATAACAACAACAACAACAATTGGTGGTGGTGATCATGGTGGTGGTCTAGTAATGATTATCGTGGTGGTGGTGGTGTGATATGGTGGTGATGGTGGTGGTGTGGTGATTATGGTAGTGGTTGTGGTGTGATGGTGGTTGTGGAGGTGTCGTGGTGGTTGTGTGGTGGTGTGGTGGTGATGGTGATAGTGGTGGTGTGATTATGGTGTCGTGGTGATTGTGTGGTGGTGATGGTGTTGGTGGTCGTGTGGTGGCAGTGTGGCGGTGATAGTGGTGGTGTGGTGATGATGATAATGGTGGTGGTGGTGTTAGTGGTGGTGGTGGTGGTAATGGTGGTGATGGTGTGGTGGTAATGGTATGATTATGGTGTCGTGGTGGTCGGGTGGTGGTGGGGTGGTGATGATGATGATGGTGATGGTGATGGTGATGGTGGTGTGGTGGTGGTGGTAGTAATAATCTGAAAACTAGCTTGCAGAGAAAAGAGATAAAAGAGAGGGACGGGAAAATAAATTATCTAGAAAATGTCTTCCGACTAAAAATTTAGGAAGACATTTTTCAATTTTTTTTTCCATTGATTTTATTTTCTTTGAAGAGCCAAACATGTGAAAATCCGGAAAATGACTCTCGGAAGTCATTTTCTGAGTTTCACGGACACAAATGTTAGAATTTTTAGCTAAAAATGGCATTTTGAGTGATTATTTTGTGGTACAAATATATGTGGGGTCCACTTCCGATTTGGGTCGGGTTAAAGTGGATTCGGGTTCTTCGTAGTGAGACGAAGAATTTGATATAATGTATGCTCAAAATGAATAATAGGTGAATGAGAAATTGATTCTCAAAGTGAACCTATTTGAGAGAAGTCAACAATTTAAACCTATTGTTTAGTGGCTAATTAAGATTAGCACTAATCTTGATGCTAATTACGTAGCATTCACGAAAGAATGCTTGTAATTTAGCTTTGGAAAAGGTTAAGTTGCAACATGGTAATTAAGCTTTTGAAAGCTTGGTTAGTGAATTGGGAAGTGTACTTTCGTGCTATGCTTTCATGCATGGACAAAAGATGCTGCACGAAACTTGAAAGTTTAATTTTAAGCTTTGGTTTTGGTGCCTTTGATTTTTATTAATCTTTGGCTTAGGCACCTTTCGTGCTATGGATTCGGTGAGCATGAGTCAATGCTATATGCATTGATTCGTGCTGCACCGTTTCGGTGTTTGCGGGCCACTCGGGTGTGATTTTCAGTCCCAATTCGTTAAACCTTCGGGTTTGTACGGACTTCTCGGTCACTCAGATATTTTGAAACGGGTCGTTATGGTCGGTACGAATTAATCGCGTATTAAATTCGTGACCGTTGATATTATTTCGATAATAAGTACGACCGTTTCGAACGTTGTAATTCAATTATAAAATTGAATTTATGTTGGTTTATGTGCCATGAATAGGCTGTTAATTCTATTTCTCCTACAAATACCTTGTTATGTTAGCAGAATGGGTGTACATGTTCTTTGAAAAGTCTCAAAACCTTTTATTTTTCTCTCAACTCTCATTCTTGGTTTCAAAAGAGAAAATTGTTTGCCAACATAATTCCATAAAACATCGGAGTGCTCAACTTGTGTTCTAGTTCGTCGGACTTTGGGTTGGAGTGCTCGAACGCCAAAGTCATAGTCCGTTTTATCCTGGGAGATTGACGCCACAACGATCCTAGCACCCTCGGGAGGCGGCGAATCGGTTTTAAGGAGAGTGTGTGTACACACGACTCGGGCTTCCTCTGCTTCTTCTTGTTTCATCTCGTTGGGTTAAAACCTCAGGTTAGAAACCCGGTTCTTTTTTTTTTTGTTCTTGGTTTCGGACCAAGTGGTGGGATTAATCTTGGATAGATTAAATCCTTGTACTAGTTTCGTACTAGTTGTAGTGGGATTATTTTGATAAAATAAATCCCTAGTTGGTTAATATATATACGTTGTATATATATGTAATTTTGGTTTCGTACCAAAATTGGTTGGAATTAATTTTCTATAAATTAAATTCTTTTTTTGTTTCCGGGACAAATATATATTTTATATATTTTGTGTATCGATTTATTCACCAATATCCAACAATTCTCACTTTATATTCCATTTTCTACACCTTGCTTATGTATCATGCTCTAATTGATTTAAAAAACAAAGTGAGCTACTACTTTTATTCATTCACTTTTCTTTACCTAATAAAAGTTGTACACATGACGGGAGTTATACTCCATGAGAATACATCTATCATTTTCCCTTTATTAAAACCACCTAGATAGAAATTCAAACATTAACTTATATATTTAAATCTTCTAACCTAACAATAAGAGTATCGAGAGCCACTTTAAAATAAGCTCTGCTCTTTTCCTCTCAACACTACTAACGACATTTAATTTTGGAGTTAAGTAAACTGGGCGCCGATGTAGGTTTGGGCGAAGGACCATCCGGAGGGGACCACATCGTTGCATACCACAGTGCGACCGTCACCCGTGGTGACCTTGAAGGAGAGGGCTTGCCCATCTAGCTTAGAGTTGCTTTCCCAATTCTGTCCCCAATTTCTGGACATTGGCATCCAATTGGTCTTGGTGCCTTTGATGGAAACTGCATGGACATCCCCTGAACCTCCTACGTTGGTAATTAGTACCAGATTAAAGTATGAGTGGCCGCTAATTGTGAATCTTATTCCTCCCTTCTTTTGGCATGCTACCCTACATTACATATTTAGTATATATTAGTAATGGAACAAATTGACTCGGGGTTTATACGAATCAATAAGTTGGCATAGATTAATAAGGGTAAAATGGTAAAGAATATAAATTGCAATAGTATTTCGTGGATTAATGTAACAATATAACAAGTAATGTTTTGTAGTCATGGGACATAACCATGCAATGCCAAGACAATTGCCATTTATACAAGAAAAACCCCAACAAACTTTTTAAAATGGTGGTGGACCATAAGATCAAGTCAAGGCCTACCCATTTGTGCTCGGGGATGGACGACAAATTATTCTGTGGACTCGAGTCTAAAGATACACAATTTAGGTATTTAATGTTCACAATTTACCTTTTGAAAATTCACAATTTGTGATGACCCTGTATTGTATTTACAAAGTCTCAAAATTTAGAAACACAATTTATATTTTAGATGTTCACAATTCCAATACTAAAAATACACAATTTATGATCAAGGTCCACTTTACAAGGTGGACCTGTTCCATAGTATAGCAACTAGAGAGTGGAGACGGGCTCCATGGCGGGATTGGCTAACGGTCTTGGCCCGACCCTAGAGGCTAGCCCTGGATCACCTATCTTGGCTCAGGTCGCCTTCCTAGACCTCGAGTCCTCATTTTTGGACCATTTCCAACATTTCAGTCAATTAGTATTAAGGAAAAGTGAATTTATTGAACCAAAGAGTATTACATACATACATACATACCTTCTATAAGAAACAGGGACAATTCCTGATTTGGTACGAGCAATTTGTTGGAAAACAGGCTGGGAGAGGTCAAAGTGGTGGAGGGGAGGGTTGCACCACCCACCTTGATTGTTAGGAAGGGCAGAATTGGGAGGACAGAAATTGGTGGCAGTGACCACAACTGAGGCATCAGGAAGACACCCTTTTGGATCATTCACACATTTCACCTCAAAACAAGCCCCACACCTTAACCCATTGCTGAACAGTGCTGCACTCACTGCTGCTGTGTTTATGCCATACCCTTGGCTGTACAAGTTCCCATACCCACAAGCTCCACCTAATTAACATATCATGTAATTAGATAAATATGTAAACAATGTTATTCTTAGAATATTATTCTCTGATATATGATCGTTGCCCAAAATTGTATATACTAATTAAGTAATTAACATACCCATTGTTCCAGAAGCATCGCCACCTCCATAAAAGGTGGCATGAGCGTGACTCCAGCCACCATTGTTATCTTTGGCATGAACAGATGAAGAAAAAGAGAGAAAAGCCAGAATGAAAAACCACAAAAACCACATTTCAAGTTTTCAACGACCCACCGCCTGGGCGGCCTGCAGCTAGCCTCAATGTTGTCTGTCTACTTTTTCGTTGGTTTGACTGTTTGCAGAGGATGAGAGAGGCTGACTGTGGAGGTGCCATTGTGCCAAGGAGACGTGTAGAGGTATAAATACTAAATCGATGATGCATGTGCACAGCAGAGTAAGAGTACTGTGCCCGCTCGGGCTTAGTATTTAGGAGAAGAGATCAAACTATGTTAGAATCTTGACAAGTCTCAGTGTGGGAAACTGGAAATTATGTCTAAAGTGAATAGATTCTTTATGGACACCGACATTTAGCTCAATCTGCTAAGTTATTGAGTTATCGTGATTTATATCATTTCAAATGCTTTGTCGGACCGAAGTGGTGAGGGTCCTTGGTGTTGGGGACCCAACCTTTTGAGAGAAGAGTAAGGGTATTGTGTTGTATGAGTATTAACCCTTTGCAATAAGGAGGAAATTGTAATTTTCTAGAAAAAGAATAAGGTGAGAAAAAAAATAGAAATTCAAATTCTATTGTTTTGTAAGCATGAATATAATTATGAGAATTTCAATTTTAGTGTTTGGGTAAAAATTTAGGTGAGACCATCTCACGGATTCGAGGTTGGATCAAGATGAAAATGTAATATTTATACTAAAAAATGTAATACTAATCAAGAATAAAATATTTTTTTAGACTACAAAGTGTGTTGAGCATGCCCTAACTGTAGAATGCACCTTTAGTGTAGGGCCACTCACGCCAACTAATCAGGTTTGAATAAAATATTTATTACTTATTATATGAAAAAATGTAATAATTTTGAAAAACAAAATGTAATACTTTTACATTTTGATTTAAAAGTATTACATTTTTCGTTATAAGTATTACATTTTCTCTTATAAGTAATATACACTTGTCAACATTACTTATAAGAGAAAATGTAATAATTTTGATGAAAACTGTACTACTTTTACATAGTGTTATAATTTTACTCAAAAGTATTACACATTCCCTTAAAAGTACTCCATCTGTCACATTTTATCTGTCTTACTATGGAGTATTTAGTAGTCAAACCAATTCTTTCTTCTTTGTTTATTTTCTTTAGTATTTTTTACTTTTTTTTAAATTTGATTTTTTTTTTGTGTTTAATAATACTTTTAGTGTATTTTCTAAATATATAAATTTTGTTTACTAATATTAAACTTAATATTATGAAAAATTGAATTAAAAAGAACTTCAGTTAAGCCTCATTAATCGAATCAGGCACATAAAATGAAACGAAGTGAGTAATAAACATTTTATTCTTGATTAGTATTATATTTTTTTAGTATAAGTATTACATTTTCATATTGACAAGACTCGACCCGATCAATCTTATAAATAAGGATCTGTGAGACGGTCTCACACAATTGTGACTCTAGTGTTTGGTATATATGATAATTGAAAGAGAATAAGTTGTATAAAGACGTACTACAATGTCATGTAACTACAATTCCTAGCCCTAGAGAAAAATGTAAAATTATTAGGGGGGTAATTTGGTAATTACATTCCAAACTTTCTTTTCATGTATTAAGGATTTTTGCAATTCCTAGGAAGAGGGATTTGCAATTCCTCAAATTTAAGAAATTGTAATTTTATAGAATTGCAATTCTTCCCAAACAAACTTTAAAATTTTTCATTTCTTGAAATTAAGTGTGAACAAAATTGCAATTCTTCACTACCAAACACATCATAAAAGTACTCCCATTTCTTATTTTTATCTTCTACTTCCTATAGTGTATCATGTTTTAGTTGTTTAATAAATGGGATATAAGTCATAATTTTTATTCTTTTCTTTTTCATTCAATAAATTTTAAATCTACTATCTACTATATACTAATAAGAGCCCAAGAGAGTTAGGCCTATAATGGGTTGAAAAAATGGCGGTCACAGATTTTAATCAAATGAATGACTCAGATTGATTGAAAGATTGATCAGATTTAAATTTTACACTAAAATTTCCTAAAATACACACACACCGTTACTAATTCCGTTAAAATTTTAAGAATTGCCGTTAGTTCACCGTTAACTTACTCATTGATTTCAATAGAAAAAGGTCTTAGGTTCGAATCTCATCCCAATCAAAGTTGGCATAATTAGTACTCTATTTTACTCTTATTAAATTATATAAATAATAATTTAGTAGTTACAACAAAAAATAATACATATGCATTTCTTTAATTTATAATTATGTGTCCACAATGCCTTTATTCAAAAAAATAAAATAAATTTCATTATCAATAAATTAACTAAGAGAAATAATTTTATTAGTTATATTGTCTTTATTTTTCTTCAATATAAAAATTTTTTATATTTAAATTTATTAATTGATTATATTCGCTATATTATCCTTACAATGTCTTTATTCAGTGAAAAAAAAATTATTAATTATCAATAAATTAATTAAAAGAAATATTTTCATTAGTTATATTGTCTTTATTTTTCACAAATGTAAAAATTTTTACATTCAAATTCATCAATTGATTATATTCACTATATTATCTATTATCTTTTTTCTGCACTATTTTTCTAATTAAATATCAAAGTTATAATACAAAATAATGCTATATATTTATTTACCAAGTATTTTATTAATACCATGAAAAAAATATAATTAATAAAGCCAACCATATTAACTACTTTGAGAGATTTTGTGACAAAGAGAGTATTCAAATCACACAACAAATTGAAGTGAGAACTACCTCGCAATGTCCTTGTTTGACAATCAGCAGTTAGGGGTTAGCGTTAGCGGATTATACTAGCGGATTTGACCAGCGAATTTATTTAATTATTAACATTGGGTAGAAAAATGACCGCCAAATTATTAAATCAAATGAATGGTTTATATTGTTCAGGTTTTAACTTTTTTCTTTTAAGATTTTCTAATTTATCCTTAATTATATGATTATCCATTTAATTTTTCCGTTAATTCACCGTTAGTCTAATTCTAATATTAAAGTCTAATATAGACTTATAACTACACCATTAATCTAATTCTAATATTAAAGTCTTAATAGAACTTAACCACAAACCCTAATGTCGGAATCTCCTCAAACAATATTAGTATATATTTAATATTTTATGCCCTAATTTTTATTTGTTCTCCCTTATGTCCCGTATTTGGTTTCAACCATACCTATACAATTATTTTATTGACAATTATAATCAATCTTGACTATATTATCTTGCATTTGTAAACTTAGAATTACCTATTTAACCCGCACCGGCTTAGCTCAATGGTTTTGAACCTCGGCGGCGGCAGTGCGGGAATTATGTCCAAAGTGGGCAGATTCCTTGTCCACAATGCTCTGTCGGGTCGGAGTGTGGGGGGCCCTTGGGGTTGAAGACTCAACCTCTGGGAAAAGAATTACCTATTTAAATACGCAAATTCAACCTTCAATTATCTATGCATGAACAATTTCAATATAATCCTGCCTTAATATACTAAGTACTTATTTAAAAAAAAACATTGGGCATTATCCCAATCGCGCAATGCGCGTAAAAAACTAGTATACTAATAAGAGCCCAAGAGAGTTAGGCCTATAATAGGTTAAAAAAATGGCGGTCAAATTTTTTAATCAAATGAATGGCTAAGATTGATCAGATTTTAATTTTTCCTTAAAATTTCCTAATTTATCCTTAATGAATATGAATATCCGTTAACTTTTCCGTTAAATATTATCTTTTCCGTTAATTTCTATTAGTTCACCGTTAACTTACTTATTGATTTTAATAAGAAAGGTCTTAGGTTCGAACTTCATCCCAATCAAAGTTGACATAATTAGTACTCTGTTTTACTCTTATTAAATTAAAATAATAATTTAGTAGCTACAGCAAAAATAATATATATGCATTTCTTTATTTAGAATTATGTGTCTACAATGTCTTTATTCAAAAAAAATTATTCATTATCAATAAATTAAATAAGAGAAATAATTTTATTAGTTATATTGTCTTTATTTTTCTCCAATATAAAAATTCTTTACATTCAAATTCATCAATTAATTATATTCGCTACATTGTCCCTACAATGTCTTTATTAAAAAAAAATTATTCATTATCAATAAATTAATTAAGATAAATAATTTTATTCGTTATATTGTCTTTATATTTCTCCAATGTAAAAATTCTTTACATTCAAATTCATCAATTGATTATATTCACTACATTGTCTATTATCTTTTTTGTACACTATTTTTTAATTAAATATCAAAGTTATAATACAAAATAATGCTATATATTTATTTACCAAGTATTTTATTAATACCATGAAAAAATTTAAAAAATATAATTAATAAAGTCAATCATATTAACTACTTGAGGGATTTGTTGACAAAGAGAGTATTCAAATCACACAACAAATTGAAGTGAGAACTATCTCGCAATGTCCTTGTTTAATAATCAGGAGTTAGTGGTTAGCGCTCGAATTATATTAGCGGATTTGACCAGCGAATTATATCAACAGAGACAACGGTTAGTAAAAAAATATTTAAAAAATTAACTGTTTAGATTAACATGTAAAATGACCTAAGGGTATACATATATTTATCTTAACTATAATATAGCTATATGGTTTGGTGAGCAATTATTGTAATTGCTCACCAAACCATATGGTTATATTATAGTTAAGAAATCATATGGTCATATAATAGTTAATAAGATTTATTTATTTATTACATGGTGTATAACAATTCAAATTAACCTTAGTTCATTTTCATCTCTCTTGACTTATCTAATTCATCCAAAAATTCACAAATAAACTTCAATTGAGATTATTCTAATGATGTCAATGTTAAAAATTTAGTACATAGTATTTAATATTACAAAATTTTAAGAACTTTTTTTTTGAATGCAAATTTTTAAGTACTTAGTAAACTATAACTGCACGTTTGGTTCACGGAATGAATTTTGAGGTAATAGGAATGATATTCCATAAGGAATGAAATAGGCAAGGAATAGAATAGGAATTGTATTCTATTGTTTGGTTCGCGGAAGGAATAGACTTTAGGATTTATATTACAGTGTTTAGTTGATTTAAGGAATAGAAATGAAATATGTTTTAAAAG